GAGGCCCAAGTTAACGCTAAACCGAAAGACTCTAATGTGGTACCCCCGAAATTTAATCTTAAACTGCTGCAAGATTATAACGTCTTCGAGGGATATATTCAAACTTTGTGTAAACCACTATAACTCGCTGACATTAAGTAACAGCATACAACGTTAACTTGCTAACTAATTCGATGACTAAACCAACCCTGACCAAATCAACATTAAAATAACATCCAGGGTCACGTTATTTTACAAATTTTGTGACGATAAAGTTAAAGTGCTTTGTTGATGAACTTCAACTTTCGTCTAGCGTGAGTTAGCAGTAAGTTCCAAATATGCGGTGCTTTTCCAGTGGGGTGCTAGGTTTGCGGTTACAGTTGGCTACTTAGCTAGCTAGCTAGCTTACTTACAAGCTAACGTTATCTTAGCAAACGTTGCTGCCAACTTCTTATTAGGGATTAGACTACTTCCTGGAACAAAATTCGTATAGTGGAAATAACTACTTTGATGTCCACAGTGAACACTGTCCATATTTTCATTTCACACACTACCCACACAAGACAGAAACAAATTAAGAAAAAAAATATTCAGTGCTGTGTAAATCTTATCAATTTAACACTAGCAACTTCCAGCAAGTAAACTACTCCTACGACGCTAACGGCTAAGCTAACACCCATGGCCTGTCTACGCTTCATCCAAGCTTGGACCCCGGTCTTTCCTGACGCTGACATACCAAAATACCTACCTGGATGACCTCGTTGACCTCCCGGATACACTCCACCATATGCTGGAGGATCTGCTCCGCAGTCAAAACCTCGAAACGGTAGTCTTCCTCCTCTTCCTCACCCGGACCATGGCCACCTCCACCAGTCTCGCCGCACTCGTCTCGTTCCCCACCGGCCACCACGGGATCGACCAACTCCACCTCTCCGAGCTCCAGGGTGTCGTCCTCGGGCTCCTCTTCGGCGCTATCCTCGCTACATTCCTCCTCTTCGTCGTCGTATTCATAGTTATAGCCCTCGTCTGAGTCCATTCCTAGGGTGGTTATCAGCTAGTGACAAGCACACCTATAGGTCTACAGCGTGTGAAATGTTGATTGCGGAACAATACGAAAACCAAAATTATCCCAGCCTCTTTTTCAGCTGCAGCGAAAATAACAACAAAACGTCGCCGCTGCTAAGCCAACAAAGAGACACAGCGTCACCAACTGACGGCGGCCTTACGTCAGTGACGTCCAATGTCAAAAAATTATTGTATGTCTTTGACAAAACTTTTTAAAAATTTGATTTAAAAAAAAAAAGAAATAAACTAACAATAATAATAATGTGCGATTTAAACACTTGTAGCTAACGTTATCAGCTAACTGGTTATTAAAACAGTTCCACTCATAAAATGTAGGCAAGGCCAGCAGTTGCAAAATAAGAGTAGGCGAACTATACGATTATGATATTGTTCATAATTCGTCTTAATTGTTTTTAATTTGTAAAACGTTGTCATATTTTATCAGCCAACACCCAATGAAGCCATGCTTATTAAATTTCACAGTAACATTTCTTATACCAGCTTCAGTTATTGATTCAGACATTTTTGCAGTGATTTAATAATGAGAACTGTGAATGATAGTTGCTATAGGCCAGGAAACCCAGAGGATAACTTATTGTTCACATGGACAAATAAACAGTTTAAACAATGTACGTCACCTTTTGATGAAAAAAGAAAAACACCCACACTTTGTGACCTTGCTCATATGACTCATACTCCCAGGTACAATCAGCTCAGTTAGTGCCAGTGAACACTGTGTAAGTCATGTATGCGACTGATTCTAGACCATACATTCATCCAAATTTTAATTTACTGCTATTAATTATTCTCCAGCTTGGTCTACCCACAGTGGAGGGAGTATGGTCATTACCACAGGCTCTCACCTCCTCACCAGAGCGATATCCACTGAACCCAAGGGTTTTCTACTTTGGTTACAGAAGACAGTCAGCCATGCAGCAGGGATGTTGTGTTTTGGATGCTCTATTCAAGAGCTATTTTGCTGAAATTTTCCCAGACCATACCATACCATCTGGTAGGTGAAAGTGAGGTGGAATTAAGACTATGGCAAAATGAAAGTAAGATTGTAAACCACAAAAGATCAAAGGTCCAGCAAAAATGGTAACTATTCACAAAGTGTTTCTGTGACTGTGACCGAAAATTTAAATTTACTGCTACAACACTATATTTCATAATTTCCATAGTGCTATTTGTTAACAGTCATTGTAGTGCTAGTGTAGACACTCTGTACATGTTGAAGGCCAAATTTTGAATCCACAAAAATGTAGAGCAAAGTGCTCACTGTAGTTTTTGTTTTGAATGCCGTTTGTCGAGTAGTAGATCAATGGGATTTGTGGAGACAGCAGCTCATTAGTCAGCTAGTGTAGGCCTGCCTGGTCTAAAACCCCACAATGACAATGGACCAGAGTAGCACAAACTTCATGTTTGTGTTTTCAAAAATACTATAGCTTAAGGCAGTATGAATATAACATTATCAGAATGAAAGCGCACAGGCTATTATTTCTACAAAATGTAAACATAGCATCTGTAATGACTGCGTTATTTCACTTTTGTAACAACCAGCAAATGGTGTTGTGCAATTCAGTAAGGATACGCCTTTTATGTCGGAGGTCAGTGTTGATCATAATGACTGTGAGAGTTACCCAAAGGAGGACTCTTCTGAGAAATGTAAGTATCAACACATTTATTTGAGCCAGAGCAGCAGGGGTAAATGTCACAACTAGTAGGTCTGATGCTTTGTCTGACTTGTTCGTATTTGTATTCCAGACAATCTGAGTGTCTCTGCAGGACAAGCGTCTCTGAATGCAGAAACTGTGGGGTGCTGTAAGAGGTTATTATAGCCAGTACATTTTTGAAGAACATTTAAAATGAATTAAGAACATGTATCATCAAAAGTATAAAAATGGATCAATTGCTAACAATCAAATCTTGTTTAGAAAGTTACACTTGATTTCTCATGCTGCCAAGCGTTTACTTACCGGTATAAGTATATGGTTATCTTCTGCTTAAGCACAGGTCTGGAAACCTTCAGTAAGTTGGTGCATCAAGATGATTTCGGCTCAGTAATTTTTATAGATTGTTTTCCACACTGATGTGGGCCCTAAAGTCGTTAATTCTTGAATACACAATCTCATGATATTACTGAACTTGGTTAATGTTTGGGTTGGATTATTCCAGTCACAATTTTTTTTTTCTGGTTGTTTATTTTTTTAGTCTTTTGTGAACAAGACTAAGAATGAAGACTCTCCCGGGTTTCAATACAAGGGGATTTTGTTGGATACTTCACGTCACTATTTACCAGTGTGGGCTAATTTAATAGCTCTGGTAATAATCAGATAAACTACTCTGAACTTCTGTTTGACTGCCCACACTTATCAGTGGTATTAACATAATGTTTTCATGTTAGGATGCAATGGCCAACAGTATGTTCAGTGTGTTTCATTGGCACATTGTTGATGACCCCTCATTTCCTTACCAGAGCCACACCTTTCCAGACCTTTCCACCAAGGTACAGTATGTCTTGTGGGTGAAGGGAGCTGTTAAAAAAAGCCGTCTCATGTCATGTGCACAATAACTTTGCTCACAGTTTGCCTTGCAAACATTTTATGTGCTTTTTATAAGATATTTAGTTATTTTATTCCTAGATTTGTATATAGGCTGCTAGACACTGTTAAGTTGTGTTCACCCTGAACAATGGCTTTTGGCTCACATGCAGGGGGGCTTTCCATGTGATGACTCACATCTACACACAATCCAATGTGAGAAGGGTGATCTCATATGCCAGGCTATGGGGAATATGGGTCATTCCTGAGTTTGATTCACCTGATCACACCAAATCTTGGGGAAAAGGTAAAATTCAAAGACCAAATAAGTACATTTACTCAAAAACATCTTTTTGTCAAATAATCTCAGCTCCTTAAACTTCAACATATAAAGTACTGGGCATTATGCCTGCTTTGCTTATAAATAAAACTTGTCTGCAAAACCTGCAAGTTAAGACTATAAATAGTAACAAGACAAGTCTGACTCATTTCTTGTCTGGAGGACTCTTGTAGCTATCAGTTGCAACAAATGCCTGCACTCCACAGACAATGTAAGAAATGTATTTAAACAAAATGCTGAACTAAATCCGACTGCTAACTATTTATTTCCTAGGGCAGTCTGACCTGTTGACTCCCTGCTACAGATGGGCCTCAAGTGGAGGAGTTCAAGTATCTTGGGGTCTTGTTCACGAGTGAGGGAAGGATGGAACGGGAGATTGACAGGCGTATCGGTGCAGCTTCTGCAGTAATGCGGTCGATGTACCGGTCCATCGTGGTGAAGAAGGAGCTGAGCTGTGGTCACCTGGGAGGAGCTCAGCGTAGAACCGCTGCTCCTCCACATCGAGAGGAGCCAGCTGAGGTGGCTCGGGCATCTGTTTCGGATGCCTCCTAGGCGCCTTCCTAGGGAGGTGTTCCGGGCATGTCCCACCGGGAGGAGGCCCCGGGGAAGACCCAGGACACGCTGGAGGGACTATGTCTCTCGGCTGGCCTGGGAACGCCGCGGCATTCCCCCGGAGGAGCTGGAGGAAGTGTCTGGAGAGAGGGAAGTCTGGGCATCTTTGCTTAGACTGCTGCCCCCGCGACCCGGTCCCGGATAAGCGGAGGAAAATGGATGGATGGATGGATGGTCATATTATCCATACGATATATAGGCTGATATTGTGTGGCTGTTAGCCTACAGACCATTTTAACTTATCATGCCTTATTTCATGTATACAATATGAAAACCTCAGTAAATTATCTGTGTGACGCATATTTCCATTTACAGTAATATATATTTTTGAAATGTGATATTTTGCATACAATAACCATATGACGGCGAAAATGCAGCTTTCATTAAACAGGTTGGGTCTCTGACCTGTCCTGCAATTAGGTTAGATTACCGAAGGGTGGCAGTAATGCGCACATTTACTGGTGACAGTAAACACCAAGAAGAAGAACTGCAGCGACTTAACAACACGGACGTTGCTAGAAACTTAAGCTACTTGGCATAAAGCGCTAAAGGGTCCTGTTTGTAATAATAACGGTAACAACTTTATTTCAACTGGGCAGTTATGGCTGACAACCGATGAACAATTTTAGGTTTTTTATACGATGAATAACGACTAATTTAGTTAAATAATGTTTAGCAGGTCGTATAAGCTGCTCCCTCAGAGGGACTCCACTACTGCTAGGACTCCTGGCTTGTTTGTAGACAGTGACAGCTTTACACGGCCCAACTACCACAAAGGACTCTCATTTGACTACATCCCTAATGTTTCTGAAAACGACTTCACTGGTAGGTAACATATTAATACGGAAACCAGCCTAGTTTCCGGAGCGAGGTTGAGGTCACTCGTGATATAATTTGAGTAGTATAATTTCTCAGACTATAGAAATCTCCCCACAGACATCATGCAACTGTTTTGTAGGCTGAGTAGCCTAGTTTTCCCCATGACTGACTTAGTGAAAACATCTTTAAGACAAACTCTTTTTTTTCTTTCAGATACCTCCCAAGGATGGCTGTCGTTGATCTGCAACCTGATTGTCATCTTCCTAGTCTACATCTGCACCTTTGTAACCTTTCCTATAACAGGGTGGTTTGTACTGAAAGTAAGCTAAAACTGTTTCAGCAGTTCTTCCCACAGCATATCAATTCACGGGTTAAGAATCAAAACAACCATCTGTGATTTTGTGTGCAGACAGTGCCTAACTACCAGAGGATTGTAGTTTTTCGTTTGGGTCGAGTTTGCCCTCCAAAGGGCCCTGGTATTGTCCTTGTGCTGCCCCTCATTGACCAGTGGCAGAAAGTAGACCTACGCACACGTGCTTTCAACATCCCCCCTTGCCAGGTAAATCATTTGTTGAATTCATTAAACACTGAAACAACAGCAGTGCAGATCAGGATTTATTAATTTTTATTCCTGAACTCTGAACAAATTTAATAAAATCTAGATACTGATTACGATGCTAAGAACTACTTCTTTCAGACCCATAGAGTGGGATTTTATACAGAATTCCAAATAGCTGAATATGTGATTCTTATACTACACGTGTGGTCGCTGAGGGTTCTTGGTTGCTTATCCACCGTTTTGTTTATTAAACATTTTTCTTAGTTGTGCAAGTGTTATGTTGTCCATCAGGTGGCGGTGTTGTTACACTGTTGATCAATGTGAAACTGGACACAGTAATCTGATACTTGCAGAAATCTGAGCGGTGTGTGACATCACATGTTTATTGATACTCTTAAGTTTTAGCCTCCTGCAGTGCATTTGAACATGCCTTAATATTAGCTGCAGACTTTGTATATTCAGCCTTAGTGAATATTTCTTAGTCAATATCTTCTGTAAGAATGAAGAAAAGGTGTTTGTGTTCTTTAAACTGGAACAAATATCAAATGACAAGTGGGTCTGAGTAAATTCAGCAGTCATGTTTAATATAAAATGTTCTTCTACGTGTGCAGGTGAATACCCGGGATGGTGGTGTGTTGTCAGTGGGAGCGGACATTCAGTTTAGGATTTGGAATCCTGTCATGTCAGTGGTGGCAGTCCAGGACTTGAATGCCTCAACCAGAATGACAGCACAGAATGCTTTGACCCACAGCCTGGTCAAGAAGACTGTCAGGGAGATCCAACTTGAGAGAGTTAAACTGGGGGAATATCTTGGGGTGAGACTACTCTGGAGCTTGTCTCTGCTGGCTTTTCATGGTGTCAGGTCAAACTTACATCTTTTTTTGCTCTCTGCAGATGGACATAAATGAGACGACTCGGCCCTGGGGTTTGGAGGTGGACAGGGTAGAGCTTACTTTGGGCTCTCTAATAAAAGCACCTGAAGAAGGCCCTTCTGGGCCCCTCATAATGCCTCCCTCTGTGCCTGGATTGGAAGGCCTTACTGGCCCCATTCAGCAGTTGGCCATGCACTTTTTGAGTCATAGTGGGCATTCACAGCCTCCACAAGGTATGGCTGCACACTCAGGGCTGCTTTTGTACAACTGCACCCATAATGATAATGCTATATAATACAGCTATACCTCTTTCTCCTCAGAGGATAGTGTAATGTTTACAGATGAGCTCAGCAGTGCCCCTCAGACTGATGTGACCAGATCAGGTTCTGTTGAAGAGCTGCTGGACAGGGTCAAGTTCCTACTTTCTGAAAATCTGGTCCACCAGGTTGGGGCCTGTTTCCAGTTTAACATCAGCATGGGAGATGGACAGCATCACAGTTACTATGTAGATTTAAGCCAAGGTGAATGTGCACCATATTCTATAAATATGATAATTTTCATTGAAATAAATCAAGGAAATCTTTTTAAGAAATGTCTCCATTGCTCTTTGTGTGTTCTTTAGGCAGCGGTGCAGCCGGAGCAGGGTCCTTGTGCCAAGAGCCAGATGTGACACTGAGTACAAGTGATGGTGACCTTCTGGCAATGTTCCAGGGCAGGCTAAAGCCATATACTGCTTACACCAGTGGCAGACTTAAAATCCAGGGAGACATTAAGACTGCCATGAAGCTGGAGGAGCTTATAAACTTACTTAAAAAGTAGTGCTTCTAGTAAGATTTCTGTAGGTATGTTTTAAATCCATAATTTTAACTGTAAAGTATGTTTTTGTGTATGCATTTGTCAAATAGACTGCGGGTACGCAAGGTCTGTCTACAGGAACAGTTACTCTGAATTTTACAGTATCAACCTACTACAAAATTTATGAATAATCATTCCACATTAGCACCTTTCAATTTCTAATCCTGTTTCCGTTTTATGAGCCAGTCAAATGGTTGTGCAAGTGGTTGGGAATCCTGCGGAGCCAGCCAGATCCCCTCCACCTGCAGTGCCCGCTGTCATCATCCCCCCAGGTAATATACATACAGCCAGGGGGGTGGGATAGAATACCTCAGAGGACAAGAAGGTTTCCTGGAGGGAGTGGAGGAAGAGTAAACTGTTTTCACTATTTGAAATTGGGACATATAAGACACAAATGTCCCGAGTGGTCTCATGGCAGATTTACCCAGGGTCAACAGGGGAACCCTAGGTCAAGGGTACCTATAAACCAGGGGCATGGTCCCCCTCCTAAGTATTAGTCACTGGAACAACAAGGACAGTGTGAATCGTTCTGACTTTTTCAACCTCCATTAATGTGCATCTCCAGAGGAAAAAAAAAACTGTTGAAGTGCTGATATCTGGAATGTGACTTTTGGCTGTTGACACTGCATATAGCCTAATGACTGCTATAATTGGCTTGGAGATGTTGATGAAACCTATAAATTTAGCTAAAATATGAATGACCTTTATTAATGTTGATTTGTCAGAGGCATCACTTCCTGTGTGTCCATCTCACTGCACTCTTCAATATTTTAAGACTGAGTCAAGTACAGGCAGATAGTATTTTCTCTCATTGTCCCAGGGAAACAGGTGGCTGTAGTGGTAGTAGAGATAAAAAGGGGAAAAGCAGCGTTCCATATGTTACAGTGGTAAATATAGACTATGAGCCAGAACATTTAGGTTCAATGATTTTAGAGTCAGAATTTATGCAGTAATATTTCAATCTTGCTAGTGAAGAAAGCTGACAAAGTAAGTGTTGACTGGTACATGATCTATACAGTGTATTAAAGCTCATAGATCTTTAAATGATGTCATAGAGGATTTTCAAGCTGAAGTTCTAAATTCACACACACTGCTGGTAAATGTTCCACCTGAGATCAAGTGGTTTAATATGACTGATCTGTGTTCTGCATTTTTCAGAGTGCTGCTGTTCTCATGTGTTTAATAAAGTTCTGAAGGATTACATGAAGAAATTGGCAGATAAGATCTCAAGTGCTGTATGTTGAGGACATTATTTGTGTGCACTGGACTATGAGACGTGCCATAAAGACTTCATGACCCTGTTAGCTGAATGAGGACAAATTGAACTAATTGCAATACTGTAAGGATGAGGAGAATTATGTAGGCAGATTGATCAGGGAGGGGACATGAGCGGTGTCCCCCCTCACAGTTCAGGGCAGTAGCTGGGGCTCCTGGACTGCCCATGGTAAGAGAAATGAAATGTTAAATTGATCGTTGTTACAGCGTGTACCGGCTTTGGCTCTCCCAGACTATAAGCAACTATTTTTGCTGTATTTGTGTTGACAGAACTATGCTTGAGGCCCAAGAGACAGGTGTGGGCTCACGTGTGCAGTCTGGAGAGTATTATTTTACAATGTTAACACCAGGTTTGACATCCTAATACATGACATGAGCTTTTATGTTAAACAAATGACCAATATGCACAGGAGTATTTTCTCTTGTGTGGCCTGTGTTGTCTTTTTGCAGGCTGGAGAGTCCAAAGTGAGAGCATAACTTACATTACATGATATGTAATAGAGTACAGTAAGCGTGTGTAGATTACATATAGTTGCAGTAGTCAATGATTCAATATTTGATTTTGATTTGATTTGATTTGATTTATTCTTTCAAGCATGTAAAGACAGTTGATATATCAACACACATAATTTTACACATATCCAACAAATGCTAATCCAATATCAATTTGCTTATACCTAGTACATGCTTGAATGGAGTAGGAAGAAGTCAGACTTATCCAGTCCTACCCCATGACAT